TACTGAACGAGTGAGGAAAGCCCGAGCCACCGAGGAAATTCCTTCAGGAACCGACGAAGGGTACGGATCGACGACGTTAGAATGACAAACAGTCACCGATGCTTCTGTAATGGATCGAACGTGTGTCGTTCTTTCTATTTGTTTCATCGAAATTCGCACGGATTGGTCTGTTGTTTGAATTCCGGTGTATCAGTGGGGTGTTGTTGATGGGATATTGATGGTTCAAGGGAGTGCTACAGGATGGTTATTTAACCCTTTGTACTCGAACATTTTTCTGCTATAGAGAAGTAACAAAACGAACCATGTTTGCTAAAAAATTGATATAAAAATAAGCCGCATGTGTTAGGACACCCATTCTATTCGTATAGAAATTATTACATGATTTAACCCTTACAGATATTTGTTTAAGACATTACCACAAGCGTGTAGTCTCAGACTACTTTGGCAATTTTCGTTATTAAATCACTGTGCTGTAAACATAAATTTAATATAACTATTTCATTTCATGATATGGTAAATACTTTTTACAATACTGCATTAAAACAATATGCTTAAAACGTTATATGAAAAATTGAAATTACTTTTTAATAAGAATAGTGTATCATCTGTTGTCAATTGAAGCTACTCGAACGCTAGAGCATTCAACATTCCCCACATATGTAGTTGCGACAGTGAAATAAAAATTCGAATTCATCTCTGAGACAAGTGGTCTGTAGTTAAAGGGTTAAATTGCAGTTCTTCCCTAAATTTTGTACCGTATATCAACAGAAATGTATGTACTGGTTATACTACGAAACCTCAAACTGAATAATATTGCTGTTTAGGTTCGCTTCACATTTGGTAAGTCTCTTATGAACCTAAATACATATGTAGTTACGAAACTATGTAACGCGGCCGAGGGCAGAAAGATGAAAAAAAAATTAACGAATGCCTCCTATAATTAGTAGCGGCGGTATATATATATATACACGGAGGACGTGAACAAGAAGGGCAAGAGAAAGAAAAAAAAAGAGAAAAAGAAATACTCTTTCGTTCTTTGTATCGGCATGCTTTACTTTCGCGGTAGGTGGCCCAAGAGTGACAGACGAACGCCGAAGAACGTCAAGAGGGCATCACGCTTGTTAGCAGGACGGACTTCCAGCAGCTAATTGGTATTCCTCCGGCGGGAAGTGTCAGCCTTTGACTGATTCTATTTCGAGTAGGTTGCGGTCTTTTGAAGTGTTCCCTGTGTTTACATTCTGGAAGGAATCGTAAGGCAGCAAAGTGGCTGACCAGCGTTTGCTGAACAATGCAGCACCTCGAGGGCCTTGAATCTTCTCAGACCGGTTCCATCCGGGGATTTTCAAGCGCGTCTCTGTCTAATCGGTCACCAGCATCGTTGTCCTGACGCCTCTGAGGGTTCTTCGTGCCCGTGAGCTGTCGTGAAACGCGGGCTGCTGCTGCTTCTTCTTATAGAACGAACGAACGAACGAACGCAACCTTCTTCTTTTCCTTCCTCTCTTTACACTGTTTCCTCGTCGTCTACTCAATCCCACCTCCACCTCCCCCCTTTCTTCTTTCTTCCTTTCTATCCTCGTCCTCCCCTTTCGTCCAGCTTGCAAGCAGGCGTGATGGCACATTCATTTTTAACGTGTCGAGGCTTCGCATTTTCTCGAGTGGATTTCACGTTCTTCTCAAGCAGCGATATTCTGCGTACGGATATGCGCGAGCGTTCACCTCGGCCCCGAATGGAACAAACGCAGAAGGTAGGATACTACTAGTCCAGGTCCCCTGGATGTTATATGCGACTCGCCGCGTCATCCGTCTCGGCGAGCTGTCGCCGTAATCACCTCTATCCTTCCTGTTCTCGTTCCTATACGAAACGTTTCGTTACGGTTGTCGTTTGCATCGCGACGTGAAAGGAGCCGACGTTTAAAGGAAGTCTACGGCCCATCGATCCGCCTTGTTGTTGGTCGTTACAGGTGCACGTTTGTCAAACATGTGTCAAGCATGGAAGGACGAGGAGGAGGTGCGCGCGGTTAGAAGCAGGTAAAACTTACAGAGATCGATAACGTTGGACAATGATTCGTGTAGGTGCAAGCGAATCGAAGCAAATTTGTTTTGTAACCGAATGGCGAAGAATACGCTCTGCGACTGATAAGGCAGAAGGGTATATACCAGTGTGTGCTTTATCTGAATTAGTGCTGAAGTGCCTGGGCTTAGGTTAGTGCCAGATTAAGTGGATAATCTAGTGGGTAACTTAACCAAGAGTACAATGGGAAGTTGAATAATGCATAAGTTCAGCTTAATTTGTTCTACGATTTTTTTTTCATTTTATATCAAATGGAATGAAAACGTGAGTGGAATGTGTATAAAGTATTAGTATTTATCGCGTAACTAATGAATTTCTTTTTCTGATATATGGCAGTTTTTATTCGATAAAATTGCTGTGTTCCGATACACTGCAATTCTTTTTCCTTTAGAATCTCACGGAGTTATAAATTCAATTACGCTCGTTCGCGACAATATATGAGACGAGTGGCCATTATGATAAACTGACAGAGTCTCAGCTTCAATTATTTTTCTGTAATATAATTTATAGTGTATACTTATGTGATTTAGTGTTAGCTGTGTTTGTCTGCGTTTATCTTGTTTCTGGATTAATCTAAAAACACGTGCTTGACTTGTGTACTATTGGTAGGTATATTCGGAGAACAAATCAGATCTTTTACCGGATCCTGTAGTTTAATTGATCAGGATAGTGCAATTATTATTTAACGCTTTCATTTCTAAATCATGTGATAACTACAGAAAAGATTTATTAAAAATGCATGCTCAATTCAACCCTTTCATTGCTGTTGGCGTCTATAGGCTCGTTGAAAATTTGCTTGTACTTTGATATTGGCGCCTTCTCAAGCCAATTCTATTTAATCCTTCGCGCACTTCCACCATAATTTAATAAACAAACTCAATTTATTAAAACAATGTGACGAAAAGGAAAGATTTTACGACCACTGCGCGCCACGGGAAAAGGATTAATGTAATCTTCAAGAATTGGGTATTTAAAAGCTTCTAAGCTACACATCGCGAATTTCATTTTCTTCATTTCCATTTACTAATAAATCCGTGAGCTAACATCTAAAATTACTTTCAGCACTATGCTTGTTATAAGCCCATCGGAATGTAGATAAATCTCGTACCATCAATAAATCACGTAAAGGCGCTGATAATCGTGACATTATAAAGCAACTCATATTCGCGCATTATCTCGACCAGATTGTTTATGTGTCACTTGACTATGCACTAATTTATCAGCACTTTGTGTCAATGGTCTTTTGTTCAAGAAAGACAGCCATAGGAGGCTCGTTAGATAGTGGAAATTGTGTAGAATATACGATACGTGGATATTACTCGGCCTCGTTGCTATCACGTAGGTATAATAAATCGCTAATCGAAATTGCGCTAACAGAAAATAAATTAAGCAACGGTCGTGTGTACAAAGTGGACGATGATAAAATAACTTTCGCAAATATTCAACCGTATTTGAATACAAACATTTATATAATTGGATCGTTGAAAGAAAGCAAATTACGGGAATAATAAGAACGAAAAGGAGATTGGTATTAACGTGAGATACAGTTCGAACGTAATATTTGTACTGAAATTTCGTTGGAAAATCACAGTTATAACAGAGCAACTTCACGCGAAGTTTATTATAATCGTTCTATTAGAATCATTAATATATCCCCTTACAGAATGGATACGTTTCAGCTCGTAACTGGAATTATCGTTTGAAGATTAAAGGTTGTATTTAACCATGGGTAAAACACGAAATCGGTTTGAAACTCCGAAAGTGACATTTGAATCACAGAGAATCTGACATTTTAAATAATTTCAACTTAACGGACAATCATCGATATCCGTGCAAATTTCTTTCGTTTAAATCAGATTGTGAAATTTAGAATGATAAGACAGGAATCTGGTCAATTTTGTACAATACTTAATTACATTATTTTGCCAGAAATGTCGCATATGCGAAAGTGATTTGAACTGAGCTTAATAATAAAGGTAAATTTTAAACGCGGCTGAAATTTTCACGACCCGCGTTTAGTCGATATTTGTGGCGACTTATCCGTTGATAGAAATCGCTAATGTTGGTAGATTCATAGAGAGCGAGGTGAAAATGTAACGTATATATAGTAGAAGCGTTCAACAGGTTGACGTCGCACAATAAAATCTTTTAAGGCGGCCGATACTTCTTTAAACATCGCTACGGATGTTAAGATAAGAACGATGCTCTTGTCAGGAGCAAGGTCAGAGTGGCGGATTCCTTCAGAGAGGTAATTTAGCGGTAGGAGAAAAATTCGAAATTGTATAAACTATATCATTTTTTCACTGTTTTTTTTTATTAATAATTTGAATTCAAACAAGAGTTACAGGCTTTAGAGAAATAAAGTACCACTTCGTTAAAAATTGGAATTAAAAATGTCGACACACTTTCCTGATAAAATAATTTCAAAAATACTTCTGACTTCTTGTTGCTCACATTTTACTTCTCCTTCCATTTCAATCTTTCCCTCCTATCCCTTCCTCTATTCCTTCGTTGAGTTTTTCATTTTCTCCCCACTTCTCTCTAATTGCACGCTAGAAGTTAATAAGACGTCGCCGTGGAGTTAACAATGCGAGTGGGTTGCGTCGCAAAGGGGGGGAAAAAAGGGTAACACAAACTTTTCCCAAAATTAACGACAAATAAACCGCTTAAGGAGCTCGCGCGTACTTCGTTAGAGGTCACGCTTAACCACGCGAAACTTTTTAAGCGCGCGTTACACAGGCTAAATTATCCTATCCCAGGGACGTTCCAACGGGGGAGAGCGAAGGAGAGAAAAAAAGAAGCACAAGGGTAGTCCAGACACTTTTGTTCCTTCGGCATAATACGAACAGAAAACGTAAAGAGAGAGAGAGGAAGACAAACAAAACAAAAACGGTGTCGTAATTAATCGATTACGCAACCGACACACGGTACACCACGTCGATTTGGAAAACAAACGAATGAACATGGTGGTCCTCGAATAAGAGCGTCACGTGTAATCTCGTCTGGAAAGCGAGAGGGAACCGATATATCGTGTCGAAGAAGATATCTGCGGTGAAGGAATCCAGTGTACTGTGCTCGGGTACGTCGTTAACGATAATTCGATAGTCGTCACCGAGCCGGCAGATAGAAACGACTTCCGCGCGTGGATCGATGCGAAAAGAGACGCGAACAACGGTGTGACATATATCGCGGCGCGGATTTCAAGCGGGATGTTCGTCGACGTGACGATCCAGCAGCAAAAGCAGCAGGAGGGTTGAAATCTCGACGTCGTTCAAGCTCAAAGGAGACAGAGTGATGGGTGAGCACATCGGGCAATAATTTTTATCGTTCCACGCTATTATGCAAATATGGCTGATAAATATTCACGAGGACCGGGCTTAAGTGTCAAATTTCGCGGAGGCTAACTTCCGTCCGATAGCGATTTTAATAGTTCGTACTTTCTGCACCGCGATGGAATCTACGCGCGGAATTATTTCCCGTCTGAGGGACGGTAAGACGTTTTATAACACTTTCTATTTCGAGGAGTGATTAACGAGAATTAATCATAGGAGCGTTGCAGATGTGTTTGTGCGTCCTTCGTGTTTCATCGACGTAGACAATGGACTATGTGCATTTAACTCTTATCAGGGTAGTTTATTTATGTTACGTAGACGAACTATCGAAGTTTCTTGGAATACGTATATGAGCATCAGCACGCGATTTTGGTGCAGAGTATAGTTTATTTTTAGAGTAAATTTTCAAAAATACTCAACTTTTTGAAAACTTGTTTATTAGGTTGTATTCAGAATTAAGTGAATTACAGGATATATAAGTGCTCAGGGAATGATTCGAATTTTTACTTTATAGACAGGGTGGTAGATAAGGGTTAATGACGTTTAGTGTAGACTATACGTGTGTCTATAATGGATAAAAATGTTTCATCTACTTTATCCCTCTAAGTCCAAGCGGGACTCGAGTCCCATGCCAGAAATCCATGATTTTCACAATTTCATGCATTCCAAACGGACAGCCTCCCAATCCAAAGTATAAAGTAGGCTATTTTAACCCTCAAAAAAGTTTTACGACAACTTTAAAACACCCATGGATCTAGAGGGTTAATAAAATGTCAATCGAACTTAGAGGGTAATGTATTTATATGCGATTATTCGTGCGTCATAGTTTTACTTTAGAATGTTCGATACTCGTAAAATGAACCTAATATTGCGATTTGCTACGTGCAATTTTTATATGATTTTCCGATTAAGGATACTAGCTGCTATGTTTCTATTTCTTGCAATGACAGCGGAGATAGTCAGGTTCCTGTTCGCGATAATGCTCTGCATCGCGAACATGATCATCTACGGGCTAAAGGTCAACATCGCCACGGCTATTGTAGGCATGGTTAAGGCTAAGAAGGAAGATGAGCTTCACATGGATGTACACCATGAATGTGATTTTGGCGTTGATGATAGTGCAAAAGTGGATATAGATGGTCCGTTTGATTGGTCTGCCACGGAGCAAGGATTGGTTGTCAGCATTTATTTCGCTGGTTACCTAATAGGCATGTTCCCATCAGGATACTTCGCGGATCGGTAAGTGAAGATTCAAAGTAATTTTTGTAAAATATTAACCCTCTGCCGTATACCTAATAAGGAGTCAGACTCATGTCACAGATTTTGCTCAAGATTTGATGAAAACAGTTATATTCAGTTATACCAATTTTCGATTTAATTTATAAAACTAAAGAATGCCAGATTCAATTAATCTATGGTACATTAGGTTTTCTTGCTTAATGTAGTACTTACTAAAACAGTAAATAGCTGACACTTATGTAGATGCATGGTCAGGAAAAGAAATCATACTTCAAAGGGTTAAATGATAAGGAAAGTGTTTCATTTTGTTGTTGGTTTTTTTTCGAAATCTTCATGTAGTGATATTTGTCGAGGATTATGAAAGTGGTATAAGTCGTATTTTTTCGAGTATTTTTCAAATGAACTTATCAAAGTGGAAAGAATTTTTCGGATATATCGACTGAATAAGAGAAATCTATTAACAATAGCTTTTTTAGTCATTTTCAAATTAAAGTCTGATATTAGAGCATTGAATAATGAAATATTTGAAGGGGAAAAAATTAAATGTTTGAAGCGTACAATTTTTTTTTTATTTTGACTTTGGCCAATTTCATAATCTGATACTTCGTTTAGTTACAACGATGTGAGCTTTGATATGATAAAGTCATTAACAAATTTTCAGGTGTTACTATAAATTACAGAATACTTGATCCTGATAGAATAAACGAGACTGAATTAACGTGAACAAATGGTAGTTACTTGGTGTCAAGTCTGGTGTATAAGGTACTTTGCACGAGTTTCTTTTTTATGAAAGTATATCATTCCAATTCCTTTATCCACAGAAAGGTCTTTCTCAATATGACCACAAAAAATCACTTGTAAGTTCAATGTGAAATGTGAATTTTCTTGGTAGCTTCCTTGAACAAAACTATTTTTTCATTCCACTAAAATATTTATACAAAATTATATTATACAACTGCAACAATGCTGGAGACAAATTTCCTCTAAACTTTCCCTAATATTTAGCACCTGCTAAAATTTGCACGAATCTTAATTTCTCTCCTTTGCTAATGTCGAAGTAGCTCTTCTCTACTTAGTTATTTAACGTTATTTAATAAGATAATGAAGATAGCTGGCAGTTGTAGTAATAATAATCGTTTACGAGGCTCAGAGTCACGTGAAATGTAGGTCTTTGATAAGTGTTCGTACGACACGCAACGTATGAACCCTTCGAATACCGTTCAAACGAAGATCTTCAACAGATAGCAGATATCTATGTGTGAACTGTTTGGTCTGTAGATGGAACTGTTTTATTTATTGATGAGACGGAGGTGCACAGAATAGCGAGAAATTTATAACGAGTTACGAATAACATGCATTGAATTAAAAATTCATGACTATCAATAAAATACTCGAAAGAAATCGTTGAGAATATTTTGAAATCTTTCACAAATCAGTTTACAGAGATTGTAACTCTTGTAGAAAAATTTTTCATGATTCTCATTCTCGACTTGATCTGGATTGCAATTCTCATTCTCGACTGTCATTATTGTACATGAAACTGAAAAAAGAAGTAGAATTGTTTCAAGGCATAAGTACCTTAGTACTTTTTCGTAGAATGTGAAACAAAGAAACAAGTGAAATTGCACTTTTCCGATGCACAAAAATACATGAACTTAATTCCAGGATATGCACCACTTGACACCATTTAATTTAGTCCGTTTGCATTTTCTTCCATCTCTAACCATTTTCAAACTTTCAGGACGTCAGTGAAATTCACTAAATACCTGCTTATAACCGAATGATTCGATTTTACTGAAGTGTTTATTACCATTAACACTTAATTTTTTCAGTTTCTAATCTTATCAGCTCCTAGATATATGTGCTTTTTCATACAATATTATAAAATAACGAGTTATGAAAGATACAGTTTGTCCCAGTTGTGTGGGACGCCCTGTACAAAGTAACGCGATACAATCTAGATAAAAAGTAAAGACACTATTTCCAAGGAATTGTTCAAATGTTCATAATATACGTGCTTTTTCATACAATATTATAAAATAACGCGTTATGAAAGATACAGTTTGTCCCAGTTGTGTGGGACGCCCTGTACAAAGTAACGCGATACAATCTAGATAAAAAGTAAAGACACTATTTCCAAGGAATTGTTCAAATGTTCATCGACGTTTCGCAGCTTCAACACGAAGAACGTCTTGCTGATCTGCGTGTTCGCGAATGCGATACTGACGATGTTGGTGCCGGTAGCGGCGCACATGCTCGTGGTACTCTACATCGTGAGATTCTTTACGGGCCTTCTGAGCGCGGCTAATCTTCCGGTGGTAAACGTTCTCGTTGGCAAATGGGTCGTTTATGAGGAGAAGAGTATGTGGGTCGCTATCATTTACGCCGGAACATCACTTGGTACTGTGGTGTCCATCCTCTCTTCCGGTATAATACTCGACTCTTTGGGCTGGGAGGCTGTATTTTACATACACGGCTCGTTGCCGTTGATCTGGTGCGTGCTGTTCTATTTGTTCTTCGCCGACAACCCGGAAACGCAGAGGTACATCTCAAACAAGGAGAGGGAATACATTGTATCTTCTTACGGGCACAGACAGCTCGAATCGGCGAAAATGAAGGTACCGTGGAAGGAGATCTTCAAATCGGTGCCGTTTTGGGCGCTGCTTTATACGAACACGTTTGGTAACTTCTGTTGGTACTTCTTGCTCACGCAACTGCCGTTATACATGAACAAGATACTCAGATTCAATATCAAGTCGGTAAGTTGAATTCTTTTGTCAATTTTCGCTGTATTCTATCTTGGCTGTATCGTTGGTTTTCTGATAACTCGAGTGACGTAAGGGCAAAGTAGTTGCCTGTGCAACTGTTTGAAGATCGCAACGATGATTTAGCATGTTACGATGGAAAAGAAGGCAGACCGAATTTTGAATGGATTTTCGTTAACACTAGAAGCATCGCTTGGGTCAAAAAATGACCCATCAATAACTATCCAAAAGTGAATTTTTGTGTAATTAAAACGTGATTAAAAAATTACGTTCATATTGATAGAAATATAAATATACACGCAGAAAACGGAGTCAGAAAGTTAAAAACGATAATACTTAGCAGTATCGAACATTCACCCTTTCTTGAGAGGTTCTAATGGGTCATTTTTGACCCGGTAGGTCTTTGTGGTATTAATTTGTTAACATAGTAAAAGTCAGAATTTTTTCTTGTGAAACTTTACTTTCCGCATCGAGTTACGAACTATAGTACATTCCTATTTTTCATCATCCTTTGTCGGCCAATTCAAAGAAATTTTAAAACAGTTGACAGGGTATATAATGGGCCATAAAACTACTGAGCGAACCATAGTCTACATTTTTGTTTCTTCCTAAAAATTACAGACTGTTGTTAGTACTCGCTGCTAGCACACGTCAACTTGTTTTTAGTTTTGCTGCTAATATTTTGAAAGTTAAAAAATCTTCCATAAAGTATAATATGTCCATAAATTTCCCATAAAGTATGAAGTAAGTGATCATCAATGCAAGTTAATTCTTTTTGTTTAAAAGTTAGGGTAAAAGTCACAAAGAAATTGCCTGTACCTAATTGTCAAATGTTCGCGTTACATTTCGTCAATATTTTGTTGACAAATTATCAATATATAAGAAATAAAAAATGATTCTTTTTCCATTTCAATAGTTTCATTTACTCCTAATATAAAAATATTGTTGTATAATTCATATTTTATGGGATACCTAATACTTTTGGCGAAGGCTGTATGTAGCATTCATACATGAAGTACACTTACAATTAATAATAAGCTAATTAGCAATATTGGAACAGAAAGCTCTTTAGCTTCGAATGATTTAATTGTCTTTCAATTGCCAAAGTATTTGTTTGATTGTGTAGAATGCTGCTTTAAGTTGTACGCCATACTTCATAAATGCATTGGTAAATCCGCTGCTTGGCAAATTATTAGACTGGGGCAGACAAAAGAATTATTGGTCACAGACTGTTGGACGAAAGATTGCAGTATTTATAAGTAAGTTTAATTATATAATTCACCGGTAAGTATCTAAAAAACAGATTCAAGGTTTTATGAATACATTACAGATGCGGAAATTAGTACAAAATATTCGAATACGATTACACAATTGTATTTAAATTAATATATCTACCTTACCACCACGAGTGGCTTGTGAACTTTTATTTAAAAAACAGTTAATATTATTAGTTGCCTTTGAATCTAATTTGAAAAAGTGAAACTTTTTCTATTCGTCTTATATTAAAAAAATATATTAAGCTTCTAAAATTTTAAATAATTATTTTCACACTTTGTTAATTGTAAAATATCGCATACATTTTATAGGTTGTATTCCACCGTGCACCTGCCTCGTTATAATCATGTACATCGGTTGTGACCGCATAGGATCTACAGTGCTATTAATATTCAGCATAGTATTATGTGGTGCGATTTTTGTTGGACATCTTTGCAATCAGAACGATCTGGCACCGAATTACGCTGGAATCTTAATGGGTATCACAAATACTCCGGGAACAATCTCAGCGTTTATTTTGCCTGCCATGGTGGGCGCGCTCATGGAAAGCGGGGTAAGTGAAATACGACATTTTCGAATGTTTCTCAAATGAACCTACCACAGTGGAAAGAATTTTTCCGATACTTCTATCGAATAAGAGAAATCTATCAAAAATAGTATCCTAGTGATTTTGAAATTAAAGTCTGATATTAGAACATTAAATAATGAAATTAAGCTTCAATTAACGACTAAGCTACTTACGAAGAAGTTTTGTTGCATATTTTCACTTTATTTATTTAAGATATCATTCTTATTAACTTTGCACTTTTCTAATGCAGCACACTATGGCGCGCTGGAGGTTCGTGTTTTGGGTCAACATTGTCGCTCAAGTCTCTGCGTTCGTTGTCTTCGTCATCTTTGGATCGGGAGAAATTCAAAGTTGGAATTATATACTGCCTACAGAAGCTTGACGGTGAACTTAAAATATTGAAGCATAAAGTTACGTTTTCCTTCCTTTGTAATTTATTTTTGTCTTATCGGTAACGTTGCGTTTAGCAGCTGTTACTCCCATGGAAAGAGATCTGAATGATGTGTGAAAAATATGATTATACCTTAGCTTCGCTCTCTATTTGTAATCTTACTTTACCAAATTTACACCGTCATATTTTGTGCGCGTGTTACCTTATTTTTGTATGTGTTTTAGAAGCGCGAATAGGAATAATAAACTTTTGTTGTTTTAAATACCTGAGATTTTCTCTAATATCTCGTAATTACAGAAATACCTTCATTACTGCAAATTAAACAACTCTTTAGAAAGTTAAGTCATCCTTACTGAAAAGAACTTAACTTCATATATATCATTATTCAACAAATTAATCGTTTAATTTGCTTGCATTTTTGCCACATTTATTAAGTCGTTCCAGTGAGTTACTTTCGAGAAATGAAACCATTAACACAGACGTGTAAGATAGAAAAGTAAAGAGGAGCAATAGCAGCGAAACGTCCAGGACTCTTAAATCGAATGCGAGTGATTTTTCACCAGGATAATGCCAGATTACACGTGACACAAAACGTGCAAAAAGAATTACACGAATTCGGTTGGGAAATTTTATCACACCCATCATATTCCGTAGACACTGACCCATCCGATTGTCATCTGTTTCATGCATTGCAACAGTTTTTAGTAGGTAAAAAAATTTCACAACATCGACTGTATAAGAAATAGCATCGAAAAATATTTTAATGAAAAATCGAAGAAATTTTATAGCGAGGACATGATTGCTTCGCCAAAAAGGCGGGGAAAATTTGTGAAACGATAGGGTGATTACATTCTTTCATAGCATTTAGAGGTATATTTGAAATATTGAACGGAACGAACTTTATTAGACGACCTAATACTATCTGAAATCATACAAAACTCCACCACTCTTGGAACATACTGTTTAATAATTCAATCTGAAGACAAATTTCGCCTACACCGTTAAAAAAAGATCAGAAGACGACCATCGTTTGTAAACCGTGAAAAGTCGAAATAATAATCATCCAAGGAAAAGCACACGAAACGTTTCCATTTACGTTCGCAAAGTGTCATCACGGGGGTCGTCATCGTTATAAATAATTCGCTTCTGGGCCCCGTGAAAATCGTTTGAGAGTCGTGTACAGACGTGTATAAAGGTCCGCCGCGCGGATTACGGTAATTAGAACCGCGAGACCACCCGTAATGATGGCCGACCAATTAAAGGGCCACCTGGTAAAAAAATCCGTCTTATCCCAATTAGATCGTGGCGCGTTGGCGACCAGGCAGCCCGCGAAAGGCACGGTTAAAAAGAAGGAGCGAAAATCCAACGGCGAAAGAGCGCCCGAATGGGCTGTGCGAACGTTAACGGAGAATATTTATGGCGACTGAAATATTACGTTTGTAATCTATTTCGGTGCTATAGCCGCTCGTTTCGACGGGCTCGCCGCTGAAAAACGGAAGATTACAGCTAAGTCATTTCCCCTCTCGTTTGAAACGTTTCCTCTTCCAGCCAGATATCAAAGACACGTCTGGAGAAAAGTGTGCGGGCGTCTCGTTCCTGGAAATTTCATGAAGATTTTGAGTCCGCGGAAATTGAAGAAATTGCTGTTTTCGCAAGACCCACCCAGCCTGGATACCTTCTCTCGCCTAATAGCGCGCCGCAATTTCTGTCTCGTTCTCGGGGAAATAATGCGCCAAGGATATTTTGAATAGAACGTGTTAAGTTGATGTAACGTAATTATTTCTCTACGATTCAGGCCTTAAAGCTTCCAAAAGATTAGAACAGTTTTGTTCATTAGTACCCCATATGTATATACTATTATTTTTATGACGGTATCTTTAATGGAAATAGAGATTTAGAAGTATTATCGTACGTAGATACTCGTTGCACTATGAAATTCTAGACTAAATCATTTTTCTTCAGAATCTTAATAATTTCGCAACGATTGCTTAAGTTTGCTTCATATTCCATTAATGTCGTAATACTTATAAACGCAAGTTTACATGAAAATTTCTTTAATCCTACTGCAGTCTTCTCGGGTCTTTTCTGACCCATCGCTTTCTTATTCTTTTTAATAGCTTTTGTTGTTATCAAGTTCACGTTCTCTTAACGTTATGTTAAATGTTTATTATCTAGGTTCATACGGCGTGATGGTAATAAAAATTGATACACATAAAGTCTTTGGGTCTTTTTGATAAGGGAAAAAGGAACGAAAGAAGAGGATTAGAATTCTAATATTCTCCCACGAGATATTCTCAGGAGATTATTCCTCCATGTTTACTAATTCATGAGATGAATATCTTTGAACTAGACATTTTTGGTATGAATAATATCTTCTGAGTACCTCAGCTGTTTGAGCAGGTGATCTATTGCTTAGACAGTTTAATATAAACGATGTATCGTTCAGTCGTTAAGGACGCAAGGGAACATCTGCCATTGTCGTATAAAACTATCGTTCGGTCCAGACCTCGCAACTAAATCCACCATTTCCTCACAATATCGCGCGATAAGAATTCCATCGATGAAGTTCTCCGTTGCTGAACAGCTATCGATAAGCAGTCAATTGCTCCTCGTGATTGAAAATACCGTTGAAACGTAGAAAACAGCGAACTCGTTTTTTCCTCATTGAATTACAGCTGCTCCAATGACCCGATTCTTCAAATTACGAGAGCTATTTTTCCCCTGTACCATCTCATCGCTATCAGGACCATTTTATCAAAAGCAAACTATAAGCTGAATGGCTCTCCTATCTGCAAACAATAGTCTAAATGCATAGGTAGACAACAATACGATTTTACTATATAATTTTAGTCTTGTTATGTTTTATATTCAACCGTCTACCATTTGTTCAAACAGCTGAACAATTTTTTAAACAAACGAATTATTCCGAAATGAAGACACTGTAAACATCGATAAATTTTTGAATTCGTAGACTAATGATTTTTATAAATTTGTAATAATGAAACTAGTTAATCGTTGTAAAAAGTGTGCAGAATCGTGTGGAAATTATTTTAATTAAATACATTATTATTTTAAGAAACACAATGTATCTAAAGTTTCATTTTAAAAGACGACATTTCATATGCACCAACTGAATAAATTTATTCCTCTTTAATATGTAAACTTGTATATATCATTATGTATTAATTAACGAATGTGGCATCAAAAATAAAAACTATCCAATCCATGAATTACAATCTCGTAACGTACTGAATCTTTGATTTCATATAAAATTAAACAATACACCGAAAACGAGGCCACATAAATTTTCAAACAGACAAGCAACGTAACCGATTAAACTCGACATTTTAAAACCATCGTCAATTGTGAACCAACCCCATTCCGCGACGTTTTATTTTAAGCGATGCAACGAAAATTAGCCAAGGAAACAGTCCCACCGAAAAATCATGGTAGACCTCCGTTAAACAGCCTTCTTCGTTGGCCGACAATCCGTCGAAGAAGCTATTAATCAAGCGTAATTAAGGCTCAGCTGATCCTTCGCCAAGGGATCGAGACGTCGACTCGTTTGCCCGAACTTGGCAGAAGTAGACTTGCTCGCGCGTCGCTCGACACCACGGTTAATCAATCCTGAAGCTCGTTACAGTCGAGCTCTCCGCTAGCCTGGAGTAGAGTCAACGCATCCGAAGCGGCACTGAAACGCTAAGGATTGTTAATCTAACACAGCTCGAGCGCATAACGGCCGCTGTTAAGGATTCACAGCTGGGCTTACGCTACGGACGAGACAGAACGTTACCATAATTCAAAATCATCTCATTACTTTCTGGAATTTGTCAATCGATACCTTTTTCGTGAAATCGCAATTCAGTCGGATTTCTTACGCTCTTTTACACTTCGGAAAACACTGTTTGTAAGCGCTTCGTTGCTGGAAATTTTTCATTGCTGAAGATTTGTTTTTAACCGTATAGATTATTATTCAGGAATTGAGTGACTATTTAGTTTTGTTTTATTCCCCGAATTTGGTTCCATTTTTCAAGTACAGAAACCTTTTTTATCATTTTTGTACCACTTCCTTTCATCTCTATACCGAATGTTCGAATTATTTTAAAAATTTTGGAATTTCTCTTAGTGTCACAAATATTTTTATGTCTTAACTTTAAGTATATTATACAGTATTACAAAATTTAAATCTTTAGACTCCATATTTATTGCCCAGCAGTTATCCTTAAAATTTTTATCGCTAACATTACAAACAATTCTTTCGTCAGAGCTAAATAAATATTTACACACGTATAAATTAAATTGTTTTTATTTTCTGAGAACATTGTAAGAGCCACCAGTCGGTCTGAACATTGCATCACGTGTGCATATTCGTGGGCGCAAGGTCGAGCGTAAATGAACCCGTACTTTTCGGCACCTTGAACCCCAAAGCTGGCGTTCGTGCTACTTCGTTCTCCTAGGTGCCTTCGGAAGACACATTTGCAGCACCAGACCGCACCGTTATTACTAGCGATAAATCGCCACCTTTAATAAGAGCTCGCATGACGTTCTAGAATCTAGATGGAAGCCAGAGATGCCCGGCGTCGCAGCCAGCGACGACCACGGCGACGAAAGAATCGTGATATTGAACCTGACATGATAACGATGAATCCAGAACAGTTTGTTCCGATGGTATTTTGATTTTAAGACGATTGTTAGTAGTAGTTCGCGCTGGTTTATTGATTAGATAAGAAAGATAACTTTATTTGTGGAAAAGAGCTGTTCTCGTTTGAGCATGTGGTATAGAATTTTATATTGAAATTGTAAAATGATTTTGTACTTTCCACAGGCAAATTTTCAGCGACAATAGACGTGGGAAGAAAATATGGAGGAATGTATGATTCGTACAATCTATAGATCGTTGAAATGAATTGGATTCGGTACTGTGTTCAGGAATAGCAAACTAAAGCGAAGAAGGTACGACATCTCCAAATTACAAATTTTAAAGAAATTTTTTAATAGAATATCTCAATGTTTCAAGACGATTTATTGCTTTTCTGTTCAATATTTATGCTCTTCTCTCGTGTGCAAGGCGTCACAGTCTTTTTTAACCCCAATGTTATGATTGGATGAAATGACTGTAGAGAGTATATTATATTACGAATGGAAAGAATCGAGTTACTCTACATTGACTGAATTTATTGATTTTATTGATGAATTTATTTTGGACTGTTTTCCCTAGAAATTGAGTGTCGCTTAAATACATTTTTCAGAGGCTACGAAGTCACAGATATGTTCAATCAACGCTCGTTATTTGGTTCAAAGAAGATGGGTCAGCTTTCGCGAGCTATTGATGGTATGTGCCTGATGGAGTCGTCGGTTGCGTCGTTTATTAAGTAAATTCGTGCTTTAGCGCACGACAATATTTGTTACAATTTTTAAATAAACTATTCCCAAATCTATAATTATATAGGCACAGTTTGTTCGTCCAACTGTGAAACACTATGCACAAATACAATATGAAAACAATTATAAGAAAAAATGCAATTACAAAGAATTAATTTGTTACAGTCTACAGACAACTTATAATCATGAATAATCCTTTATAACACACACATATAACTAACGACTAGTCTAAAACGGTAACTGCAATAATAGAATTATACAGACATCAATTTAACCCAATCTAACCGTTAGATAGACCAATCTTGTTCCACAACTCTAATTAATCTTAACTTTAAATAGGTGCACGAATAAGCGTTCTTTTTATTGGCCACGTCTGTTTGTAATTTTTTGCAGAGAAAAGCATCACCAAAGCATTAGGAAGAGTTAATTGCGCAGAAAGTGCTTATCGTTTGCAATTCGACATGCCTGTTCGGACACGAATCTGGGTCAGTGCTATCAAAGGATGAATTGGATGTGTAGAACAACTGAAAATGCAGCTGCTAACAGTCAAGACAGGCTCCTCCCTTAGAGCTTTTCTACCGCAAATCCCTTTTAGCCGTGAGACTGAGCTATTAAGGTCTTGACATGCCACGTGTCTGCACTTGAGCACCCCATTCATGTGCGTCCCGTACGATTCCGAGCTTGCTCGTATTCAGGTGTAAATGTACGCTGGTTAATTCTCCACGCTCACGTTTTCTACTCTCGCTGTACACAAAGAGGATCCCCGTTGCAATCAATAATGTACTAGCGTACCGATAATAATTATGCCCCGTTGCGATGAAGCTGAAATAGATAACTGGGTAACGCGTGAATTTGTAATTCGGCGATGCATTGTGTTTGACGATTTTTGTACGTTTCGACGAATACAATCTATACGAATTTCGTGGAATACTTTTCTGCATTATAATAAAAATATGGAACAAATTGTTTGTAGTTTCTGTTTAGTGTTATTAACAGTAAAGCATGTTAATTGATATTGTCACAATAGGATAACGAAGAAAAAGTGTGGGTCTAGGTTTTAAGAGGGGAGGAAAGCAGTTAAAGTTTTGCTTTTTCGAGAAAATAAATTACACAGTGATTTTTAGTCTAAAAGCTTAATCATGGAGAAGCAGATTTGTTGCCGCTAAACGCTTGATATAACAAAGCTCGTTTAAGCTCAAAATTAATGCAAGAAATAAATTACACACGTGCTGGTAAAGAGATAATATATTACTGGCCGTATATCTGAGGCCGCAATCTTCAGTATTGCAACGTAATAAATGAAGAGCTGTAACTATCGTTTACCTCGTATTTTCTTTGTGTTCTTCGAGCATGAATGATTGCCATTCACTTTTACGTAAAACAATTATTTCGAGAAACTTCATTTTGCAGACGGTACCTTTGCGAAGAAAATAAAGCTAGAAATATACGCTAAGAATATTTTGATTAAGGAGATTATGAGATTAATGAAAATTCCAATCGTTCTCGAATATAAGATAATTACGTTATTCAACTCAATCATTTAGAATTAATAGATATTTAAGAACTAACAGATACCTCGTTAGAATTTATTTATCGTAACACAATTTCAACAAAGAAAGTAGTAAATAAAAAATATTTATAATATTTTATTTAGTAACGTATCATTTAATATCAGCACAGAGAAAAATGACATTCATTTATTAACAATGAAACTAAGGAAAAAGAATAATGTAACAGAAACGAGATGAACCTTTTCGTACAGTATCTAAAATTCAGCACAATATCCACAAACAAGGCTCCAAAGACAAATACGAGTTAGTTTCTCGTTTACAAACAAGTAGAAAAGGCGTTACTCAAAATATTTTTCCCATAATAGAAAATATCTGTTTCTATATACATTTATTTCTTTAATTATCAACAAATGAATGTAAATTATTTTTCGATAGAAAATACTCTATTTCTAAATAAAATAACGTACTACTTTCTCTGTTAAAATTTCTACAACGTAAAATAAATTCAAATCAGGTGTACGGAGACCTTTTTCACTGACACAAGTATACATACACATCTACATACATGTACACAGATCAGGAATATTATACAAAATTACAATTCTTATATTACACAGTTTGAAATACATCCATAAAACTTTTTCTTATCCCGCGTATCTCACTTTGAACCTACTTTGTTTCCACCTAAACACTTCATCGAACGCCATCAAACTACAATCTTTACTTTCTAGAACCACGTCACGTCACGAGATTACTATGCACTGGTAGCAGGGCGCACAGCTTAGCGCATCGTTAGCCGACTGTTCACCCGAAAGCGTGAACTGGGTCACCGCGAAAAGGAGAAAGAGCGAAGCAGAGAGAGAGAGAGAGAGAGAGTGAGGGTGGCTCGCGAATCACCAAAGTATTCGAGATTATTTCCTTACTGTTCCACCGGCAGAAAAACGGGCAGAGGTTGGCGGAAGAGAATGAGAAAGGGAGTACGGAAGGTCGACTCGGTTCCCGGCATTCCACGGGAGTCCAGCGAAGAATTCGATATGCCTCGGTTGACGACGCGATCCGAGCAAAAGCGGCACGAAGGCAGGAATCTCGAAACTCGGTCACCCCGTTTCCAATTGACCGGCTCCAGACCGACCCCCCTCACTCACTCGATTCCCCGTAGACCGGGGCTGCATTATGCGAACTTCCTGCAGATTAGTTGTCACCAAGTTTAATATTTTACCAGGTGATCCCAGCCCTGAACCTGGACCGTTGCACGATCCACCCTCGCTTCGCCATTCCTGCGAACCGTGTATGAAACAAAGCCACCGTTTCCTGCGAATATTGCTCTCTACAAAGGAAGTACGTGCAGGACATTTTGCCAGAGTATTTAACATCCACGGGAATTTTCGATATATGCAACGAGGGTTGTTTTCGAGGAGGGTGTTGTTTAATCGACGGTCCACGCTGCTGTATCGGGTTTTGATTAGCGCGGCCGGGTCAAGCTCCGGCGTTCGTTCGTTTCGAATAAAAAGAGGGGAATCACGAATGAGCGGTCGGGTAGACGTGTGTGATTTGTGAATGTTAAATGGAAAATGGTGAACAAGATGCAAATGTCGTAAGTTTAACTGACGATCCGGGATTGAATAGTAAGAGATGTAGAATGTTCCAGATGGATTTATAGAGATAGGAAGATTCAAGACTCAGATTGTTTAATCCTTTCGCTCATTTGCAAAGAGAGTGAACCTATGTAGTATACGTCTACCCAGTAGTTTCTATTTATTACATTTACGTTTGCACATCGCTGTCAATTGAAAGTCAGGCAAGATTGGAGAGCTCCTGATATTTCACTATCACGAAATATACATATACATACATTTTTATGTTTCGTTCGGTACACAGCGAGCTCTTTCTGTCTCAAGTATATCGTAAGCTTACATTTTACGAGAAAATCGAGAAATACTTTAGAAGAGAAATTAACAAAAGGTAATAGTTTGTAATATTCTCAAATTTGTTTACGCAGTCTAATTTGCCGTTGCAAAATACAAAATTCGTTAATTTACACCGTTCTTCTATCTCTAATAATTGCCGAGATATTAAACTAAATATGTTTGCTACCCCTATCTTTGAGAGTGATTTTCACTCCTTCAATTTGAACGATTACCGATAAAAAACAAAATGTGTGGAATATTTTTTTGACTGCTACTACATACCACAGTTTCATCAATATCAATACGTGTCCTTGTTAAAATTTCAACTTATTATGCATACACATTTTAAATGTTTAACTTTGACACTGTGTCTCATTAGTTTGATTAGAACTTCTGAATCATTTATGTATGTATAATGTACGCTCTTGCTGATATGTCACCAGGTAACTAATCTAAGGAAATAGTATTATACAATTTTCCTAAGGTCCTGGTAAAAAGCTGCTTCAATAAATATTTTACTCAAAATTAACAAACCTTCGATGACTTGTGAATAGAAGTGTACATATACGAAACATGAAATCAAATATCAATCTCTTACACTACACGCACTTCTGTACATAAGTATCAGGACACTTGCAGAATGTGAAACAAACCAAAATAATCAAGATCCTAAAAAAATTTAGCTTGTAATCTCCTAATGTAACGAGTATATACATTTTCACTGATACATGGTACAAAATCTAGCGAAAAAATGTAATTTAAATCGTACAATAATTTCTGAGTGTCTCGATATTGTGTACTTCATTGGCAGAAATTGAAATGAAATTTCTAATTACTTGCATTACTTTCAAAAAGGATCACCGTAACGGTAACATCTAAATTAGCCAAATCTCCTTAATCACTAACACATGCTTTCTAACACATTAATTAACTCCACAACGCCAGCAAGGGGTTGAAAAGTTCGAGTATACTAGGTGGGCGAATTGTTTCACGTTCACGCTTTATTATTATTTCAATTACGTTCAAACGAGAACACACCCTTTCAATAGGATTGCCGTATCCTTTTCTCCGACGTAATACGGCACACGGTTCTACCTCCCACACCCCCACCCCCTTGACCACCCTTTCCAACTCCCCGCCCTGCACCCTTGAAAACCGTCAGCATATTGCGCATGCATAATTGAACGTGTTCAAACAAATAACAAAGTTTTCGCATGCTGATGAGAACGCTACCGCATCCGGATTTCGGCTGCCACCGACTGCCACTGACATATTTTCATTTGACACGCGGGGACACCCCTCCA